AAAATAATTACTTATTTTTAAAATTATTTTAAAAATAATTACTCAGCCTAGGCTGAGTTCAAACTCCTGATCTTCCTTCCTTAGCCTCCCAGAATGCTGGGATTACAGGCGTGTCCCACCATACCAGGTTTGTTTTTTTTGTTAGTTTTGTTTTTGTTTTTTTGAGATATCATTTCACTATGTAGTCCAGGCTAGCCTCGAACTCATGGCTCCATCTCCCTAGTGCTGGGATTACAGGAGAGTCACTGTACCCTTTATTTGGGGTTTTTGTTGTTGTTGTTGTTTTTTTTTCTTCGGTCGTGCATCTGTCCATCCCCCGAGCGCCCCACCCCCCCACCCCCATACTGAGAATCGAATTCACGACCTCGCGCTTACCAGGCAGGCACTGTGCCACTGAGCTAAATCCCCAGCCCCTACACCCTTTGTTTTGTTACATTTTTTGGTATGGTACTGGGAATACAATCCAGGCTGTCATACATGCTGAGCAGGTGCTCAACCATTGAGCTGTATCTGTAGCCCTGAAAGTAATTTTTTTTTATATTTTTAAAAACTTTCCTGTTTTTGAGACAGGGTTTCACTGTGCAATTCAGGCCACCCTTGAGCTCACTTTGTAGCCAAAGCTGGTCTCAAACTCACAGTGATCCTCCTGCCTCAGCCTCTGAAAGTAATTTTTTTTTAAGAGAACCTTAGCTAATTCATCTAAATATATATTTTAAGGATTTCTCTCTATCTACTCTACATTGAAAGAGAATTAAAATTCTCTTCATTTACACCCTACTCATTGTAAAGAGTGTTTGTTTATTTAATGATACTCAGGGTTGAACCCAAGGCTTTCACACACACCCAGCCGCACCTCCTTTTGGGTCTTGCTAAGTTGTCCATGTTGAGCTTGAACTTGCATTACAATCTTCCTGCCTCAATCTCCCAGAGTGTGTTGAGGTTACAGTAGTAGTTTTCTAATTTTAGCTTCTAAAAGCAATGAATATGAGTTTGAGTATAATTGAGAATTTTAGGGAAAACAATGATAAAAATTTGAAGTATGTTACAGGAAGCATATGGTCACACCTTAAGTCATCTTCATTATTCCTTAAAATTAAATGTCTTAAGTTATTTTTATATGTGTCATGGTTACATAGGGTTATTCAAGTTCTTTTTTGGTGAACTTTAGCTTCCCCTTTGTGAATGTTGTAGGAATTTTTAAGGGTAGAATTTACTCTTGTAGAATGAAAGCTGCAGGTTACATCCTACATATACAATGATACTGGCTTTTTTAGGTATTCAGTCATTGCATCATGAAACTTTTATATTACAGAGGACAGTGAAGATGAAAAAGATGATCACAAAAATGTGCGCCAGCAGCGGCAGGCAGCATCTAAAGCAGCTTCCAAACAGAGAGAGATGCTCATGGAAGATGCGGGGAGTGAGGAAGAGCAAGAGGAAGAGGACGAGGCACCATTCCAGGAGAGTACGTGAAACTAGCTAGTGATTATAGTTTAGTACTTTAGTTATTTTGGTATTTTCTAAATGCTAAATATTCCATCTATTTCTTTAAGCAGATACTTCCTTTTAAGAGACATGACTCTTGAAAACAATGTTTTTAAAGGTTGAGAGATTCCCATGATTGTTCATCATTTGTAATGGTTGTACTCTTTAAGGATGTTGTGTTCAAACACTAAGTAAACGAGTATTAGGATAATAGTTATACGCCATGACTGAGATTTGTATTTTAGTCTCTTAGAGGACGATATAGATTTCTTTCTCCCCACAAAAAAACGGTAATTTCAAATTTTAGATGTTTCAGAGGTTATTTGAGTTAGTTATATGTATTTTGTAGTGTTCTTGTTTCATTTATTTGAAATTAGACCAAAAGTTCAGTTTCAGTTCAGTTTTTTCCTGCTGTCACACAGTACTACATAGGAGTAAAAGAACCACTAAAAATTATTTCATAGTTTCAGTTTTTATTCAGATTTAGTTTAGTCTTTATTTAGATTTAGTCTTCATTTTTATTTTTTTTTTAAATTTTAAAAATAAAGAAATGAAAACAACAGACAGACAACTGTTTATAAAATAGCAAAAGAACAGTACAAACAATACAGAGTTACAAAGTGGTAGGAAATTAACAATGCTTGTTGTATTACATATTGATATCTTCAAAGTGGTTTCTCATGAAAACAAAGAGACATACAATATTGATCAATCAAGGACTCATTAACAGTTTCTTTCAACAAAGAAACAGGAGACTGTAGATATACTATGTTAACTATCCTGTATATACATACATACAAAATTTCTCCTTGTTTCCCTTCTCTTTTCCCACATCCCAGTTGCCCTTTAGTCTTCAGTTTTTATTTAGATTTAGTCTTTTGTTTTCAGATAAGTCCGTCACTTGATGTGTGAGGTGTTTGCCAAACCCATTTTACAGATAGCACAGTGACCACTCCAGCCAAATTGGTAGTACAACTACAAATAGAGCCCAGTAGTATTTGACTCCCAGATCTCTCCCTTCATTTTAGTGTCTTTCCCTTTGTTCACTTGGAAGGATGTGTACATTAAGTTGGATGTTGAAATTCTTCTTTCTTCTCAGAAGATTCGGGCAGTGATGAAGATTTCCTAATGGAAGACGATGATGATAGTGACTATGGCAGTTCAAAAAAGAAGAACAAAAAGATGGTTAAGAAGTCCAAACCTGAGAGAAAAGAAAAGAAAATGCCCAAACCCAGGCTAAAGGCTACAGGTGAGCTCTGCAGTAATAAAATTACTGCTTTAAAATTTTTCAAGGACCAATGCTTTCTCTATAGAAATTCTTCATGCAGTGTCAGCATTGGCATGGTACTTAACACAAATATGAGAAACCTGAAAGGACCCTGTCTCCTGCATCTGGAAGTATCACTTATTATAAGAACTTCAGTCCCTGGGGCTGGGGATTTA